GTGAGCGCGGCGCTCTCTCGCGCGCCCGGTGTCTCCCTCTCTCTGCCTCTGCAGAAACAGCTCCCTGCCAGAACGGCGCTCGGCGCGGCGCGGCGCGGCCCGGAGCGGCGACGGCGGCTCTTCCTGCCTCCTCGCCCTCAGGAGTTGGTGGCTCTTTTTGACAGAAAAAAACCGGGAAGGGGCCTTGGGGAAGACTCGCCAAGAGTGGGCAGAGACATCTCAGCCCCCTGGTGGCCCGGGCGGACCCCCTTCGCCCCCCCGTCTTGGGGTCCATTGCTCTCGCTTGCCCCTCCTTTCCGCCTCTTCTTGCTCTGCCTCTCTCGATTTATTTTTTCAAATGGTGTAGCCGCCAGAGGTGCGGTGCTAAATTCTTGGAAGGGGCCCGGATGTACTGAGGATGCATTACAATCTCACTAAAGGAGGCAGTAGTGGAAAGGAGCAGTTTTTGGTGTTCGATGCAATAATGGGAATCAGGTAATCATCAGAAGGGAAGAAGAAATACTGCGGATCCACGGCTTCCTTGAATTGTGCACGAAAGCCGCCGACCTCGGAGGAGGGATTAATCCAGACCCGCTTGGGGTGTTTTCACATTTCTTCCTCTTTGTGGCTTCTTCTCCTTTTTCCAACAATTTTTGGTCAATGGTCAATGAAAATACGAGGATGTACATTCCAGAGGAAAACCACCAAGGTAAGGCTGGACTCCGCCGCCTCGCTGGGCTCCAGCCCAGGCTCCCCGCCTTCTCCACCCCGTTCCTGCTCTCCCCGCGCGCTCCCCGCGGCTCCGGGGCTGGTCCCTGCGGAGTGGCCCGGGGCTGCGTCCGCGAGGGGCGCCTCTACCGCGTCGGAGCGCGCGAGAGCCCGGCGGGACCTGGGGCCCGAACCGCCGAGCGAGACGGAGCGGAAAATTCCCGCCCCTCCCCCTCCCCTCCCCGGCCCCGGCTTCTCCAGAGCATGTGTTTCCTATGAAATTCCAGGCGAGGGGGGAAAAGTTCCCCAAGTGTCTGCTGCTGCCTCGCTTTCTCGCGTTTGCCCTGAAAGCCCAACTGCCTGGCCGGCCGCGCCTGGGGGAGGGGGCGCCGGCGCCGCCGAGCCCCGCGGCCCAAGAGCTCCGCGGCCTGGGGTCCCTCGCCCTGCCACCGCGCGGCGGGGAGCGCGTGCGCGCACCCCACACCAGGCCGGCCCCGCGCCCTCGGGCTGCCGGGTGTCCACTCTCTTCCTGGCGCCCCTTCCCTGGGCAGCGCGCTCCAGGTGGCGGGTGGGAGCGGGGGATGCAGATGTGAATCTCAGCGCGCCTCCCTCCCTCCATCTCTTCCCTCTCCTTCCCTCCTCCTCGGCTCACCTACACCCACCCACCTCTCCACTGCCGTTGACCCCGAGCGCGCCCACGCCTCCTGTGTTCAGATTCTCACCCCGGTGTGGGCTAGCACCTGAGGATGCAAGCGGTTAGAATCCAGGCGATGTGTGGGCTTTGCTTTTTCTTGTTTTAAGGAAATAATGAAAGGGTGTGACTAGCTCACGCGGCTCCATACTATTGCCCAGTGTTTTCTGAGCATCTCCATCCTGGGCATCAAGTGTTACCAGCTCTCCTTGTGATGGTGAAAGGCATTCAGGTAACTCCCCACTTCCTGGAAACTTTCTCCCTAACCCCCCATATTAACAAGTTATTATTTTTGGCATTCCTCAACAATTAAGGCTATGATGGGGTGTAGATGGAGGGCTTCTGCTGGAGTGTCCCGCATCCTCCAGGTACCTCTCTTTAGCTGTCTCTTGGGTGTAGTCTCCCTTTTTTCTCCTGCTACCCAGCCTCCATCTATCTCTTTTTCCTCTCTGCTCCTTCCTCTGAATGCCTGTCGCTGTTGGTCTCTGTTCCTTCCCGGGTTCTTCAAGTTACGCTCCAAAGATAGGCCTGGGGAAAGGAGTAATCTCCATGTCTTTTAGGTCCGTCCTCTTCTCTCCTTTTGCCCCCATCTCCACCATCTGGGGACAGGGCCATTGCCCTTTCCAGGCCGGAGCTGCCCTCCAGCCTGCCTGACTGGTCTTCCTCCATCCTGAGGCTGACGTTGGATCCGGCTGTCTCTCTGCTTTCCAGCTTGGGTTTCAGGGTGGGGATTTTGGCCTCCTTTAGGGAAGAAAGTCAAAGATCATGAGTTACAGGGTGAGACAGGGCTTTGGGGTCACAAGGACAGCTTCTATCTCCCTACCCAGTGCTCCAACCCCTCATCTGTCCCCCTATCCCTTTCCTAGCCAATGGAGTCATAGGTAGATTAGGAGGGAGGGAATAAGACACAAAAGACAGAGTGATATTTTTGAAGAGTGGGGATGGATTACTCCCCCCCAGATTCTACCCACATCCTCAATCTAAGCAACCTTGCAGAGGAAAGCTCAGTAGTATTGTCCCAACTATTACTACCAATGGCAGTATACTGTGGTAATAATAGTTATTATTCACATAACGATCATCTTAAATAGTTTACAAGGTCTCTGTTCTAGTGTAGGATAAACCCCTTCTTAGCCATTTCCTTACTCTGATTCTTTTCTTTTGCCCCTCTGCTCCTCAATACCCCCTACCCGCTGTGCAAGAGGCAGGCATTAAAAGTAGGAGCACCAACCTCTGAGCTTCCCAGGAAGGATGGAGAGGAAGGGAGCAAGTGAGCCGGTGGCCCAGAGCTCTACCTTTCCAGCAACATGCCAGCAAACACTATAGCAACCTGAAATCTAGTTCTCTCCCTTGAAGCTGCAGTGGTTATATAATTCATAGGAGCAAATTTGCCTCCATTCCTAGATGCAGTTCTCAGGTGAAAGAGCACCAGGATCCTTGTCCCCCCTCTGCTTTCCATCCCCTCTTCCTTGATTGGTTGGTATCACTTAGGTTTCTTTTTTTTTTGAGGGGCGGTTGGGGGAAAGTGGCAGAGGTGAGGAGGACAGACTTGGAAGAGCATACATATTTATAAGAAAGAGGTGGCTTGCTTAATAACCCATGGGGTGATGAAACATAATTGGATGTTTAGAGTTTCAGGAGACAGAGAAGGGGAGCCAAGGGACTACCTCAGGTCAGTAATGGTGGTGATGAACTAGAGAGGAGGTTCAAAAAAGTTGCCAGGTGACTGGGGCTGTGATTTCTTCGCTTCCCAACACTTGAAAACACTGCATGCACCAGATCCCCCACACCCCAGCTTTTCTGTGGGATATGTTTTGAGGGTTAGGCCATGGAGGCCAGAGGCCCGTAACTTGGAACAGCCCAGAAGTTCACAGAAAGACTGGCTTCTGACCCTGGGTTTCCGGCCGGGGGGTGGCACATGCAAAACGTGCCTCACCTCTGGGACCCTATCTGTTCTGGTACCATGCCAGCCTCCCACTTTTCTGGGATGATTTTCCATTGCAGGTTCCAGCTAGCAAATGAGTTTCTTAATAGTCAACCATTTAACAAATAAAACATCAGAATGTCCTTTATTTTCTGGAGACAAGGAAGAGGGGAGAAACATGTGTTCTGGGAGTGGAAGACACACTGTGCTTTTCTTTTAACTACTTAGCCATACAGCAGACTAGTAATCATCATAATAAAGTAATGATCACAGTTAACTCTCTTTACAAATGGTCAGAACAATGTTCCTTGCTCCTCAGCGTATGCAGGTTAAAGAAGGCTTAACACTAGCTTCCCTTTCTCTGGATGCTGCATGGAGAGAATGGAGAATAAGGGTACTGAGGTTTAAAATGTTGTTCCTAGTATTGCCCAGGTACTTTTCAGTGTATCAGAATATGGATATAATAGAATATATTTAAAAGAATTATTAAATATTTCCATAGAATACATGCATTGAAATATGCGTGCCTGTACACATACACACATGAGTGTGCACACACAAAGTAAGAAAAAGCAATTTCAAGAGGATTACACTGGACCTAATGCACTTCACAGACCTGGTGTTTTGCAGAGGAATATTGACCATGCAGTCACTTAAGATGGTTTGGACATTTCTACAGTTTTGGACATTTTGTGATAAGTAGAGGCTTGTACTGGCAGGTAGAGGCTACAGGTATAGATAGTACTTATAAATGCAGTAGTGAGCCATTAGTCCCCTGGAGCTGCTTCTTAGTCTTGGTGATGACTTTAGTTAGACACCTTCAATTTTCTTTTCCACTTAAAACTGCTTAAGGTGTTTTACTTTTTTTTATTCTTTGAATAAGACCTACCAAAGGATTTCAAGGAACACCTTAGTACAGTTCTTGCCTCATGCTAGGGGCTGGACACATGATTGAATGCCTGCAATGAACAAATGAATGAATGCAGACTCTGTAAGACCAACCGTGGATGTGGCTTCTGCCTCTTCCAGTAGGTGGCGCTACAGGGCTTAGGAGTCAGTGAGGGTCTCCAGGGCCAGTCAGGTGAGGAAAGATGTGGAGGGGAGCTTGGAGGCAATTTCCTGTTGGTGATGTTATCAGTTTCATGAGGCCCACACCTGCCTGGTGCAGAGTTTATTTCCATGGCATCCCACACACCAGCATGAGGGAGGCACCCCAGTCCCTCAGTGATCTTTTCACCTCTTGGTCATGATAACCCACTTTGGATTTCTCCTGTTGTATCTCAGACTTGTGTTTACCTTTACGGACAGCATCCTGCAGGGCATCAAGGATGCCTTTGGGCCAAGTTTTAGCTGAATTTGTCATGGCCACATATTGATTTTCTCCCTGATTTACCATGGATGGTTTAGAAACCTGAGGGTCCAGTGGTTTCCAAGCCTGGTCTAGCCTAAGCGGAACTGAAGTTTGGGATCTGGAAATGTTAACCTGTGGGGTTACAAAGCTCATCAGCTCAAAGATGAGACATTTCCCTAATTTTATTAGGGAGAAAAACTCCACAAAAACAGTGGCATATATTGCAGCTGATTTCTGTTTTTAAGTCTCCCTGGGTCTCCTGCTGGGTAATAGCACAAAAACTCCGGAGACCTAGGTTAGGGAGCCACTGAGATTTGTTCTAATTTTTAGTGATGTTTTCTACCTCCTGTCCTTTCCTTTCCTATCTCCCTGTTTTCCTTGGTTTTCTGAGTTGTTGTGGTGAGTTCTATGAGGTCTGGAAGTCCTGCCACCGTGTTCAGAAAGGGCGAGTGGCTGGCTGCACTTTCTTCCTTTTACAGTAATCCTTCCTGCCTGATGTTGCAGCTGTCAGTGATGCAGGAGTTCCAGGTCAGCCTGCCTCATGCCAGCTCCTCCTGCCCGGTTTCTGAGATCAGTGGTCAGTGTCCAAATTCAGGAGACAATTTTGTTTTCAGTGTGGACTAAAGAAAGCCCATAGGTGATTTGGGAAACACCTGGGGACTTACCAAGACTGATTAGCAAAATAATCATACTGATTTAATCTACTTCTAGATTTTGTCCTCATTGTTGCCTAGGTTAATGTTGGGCACTTCGGAGAAGAGCGGAAGAGTGATTAAAAATTAAAAAAAAAAAAAGGCACAGGGAATAGTTTTGCAAAATATCAGGTGCTAAATATTTAGCGACATAAGTGCTAAACGTTCTGATAATGAAACAGCACTCCGAGTCATGGCTGTCAGTATTAAACTAATTTAGTAAACACCTGTTTACATGTACCTCAGGGTTAGATACTGTATAAAACAAGTAACAGTGACAGGCTCTTTCGGGGAAAATGGAATATTTTTCATTGCAATTTCAAATCCAGACACTTGGACTTCA